CAGAACAAAAATAATAACCAAGAGTTTGAATGTCCTCCTGGCCACTTACTAGTTCTGTGACCTTGGAGAAGTCATTTGCCTTTCAGAGCTTCAAGGCCCCCGTCATGGGTTATGTTGAAAATTACATGTAATTGCAGATGAGGCCCTATCTGGTATATATAGTCGGCAGTCAATAAGTGTTGGTTTTTTCATTCATCGGAGGGAATGTGAGTGTCCATTTGGATCTTGAGTTCAATGGGGAATGAAGGTTCAGAGGGTTTGGATGTGTCTAAGGTCACTGCCATCACCTCGGACTCCTAGGACTCTGCACTTCTGACTCCATCACTGTCCTAACCCAAGCTCCCCAGGGCAAGTGATAATAATCATGGCTATCATTATTGTAATGATAATAATCATGACTATGATAGCTAACACATGTACTGCTTGCTGAGGGCCAGGTACTGCTCCAAGCATTAAATTGAACTCTCACAACAGCCTTGTGAGGAAAATACGGTTATGATCCCCATTTCACATTGGAGACATGGAGGCATAGAGCAGATAAGTAACTTGCCCAGAGTCCCACAGCTGGTCTCAGGTGGAGCTGGGATTCACACCCAGGCAGTCTGGCTCTGCCTGCTGTCCTCCGAAACCCTGTCCCCTGCTGTCTTGAATGCTGTGAAGCAGATAGGATTGCTGGGATCAGTCAGTGCCGGTTGGATTGTTACTCCGGCCTCATCTCTGAAATCACTGGATACAAGCCCCATTCTATGATTTCCAAGTATAAAGGAAGCAGTGTAGTGTAGAGGGAAGAGCTGTAAAGACTCAGTGAGATATAGTGACGAAAAGGAATGAAATCTGGGCATTTTCAACAACGTGGATGGAACTGGAGGGTACGATGCTAAGTGAAATAAGTCAGAAAAAGACAGATGTCAAATGATTTCACTCATGTGTAGAATTTGAGAAACTTAACAGAAGACCCTAGGGGAAGGGAAGGAAAAATAAGGTACAAACAGAGAGGGAGGCAAACCACAAGAGACTCTTAAATACACAGGAAAAACTGAAGGTTGGTGGGGGTGGAAGTTTGGGCCCTGGGGAAAGTGGGTGATGGGCATTGAGGGCACTGGTTGGGATGAGCACTGGGTGTTGTAGAAGTGATGAATCACGGGTATCTATTTCTGAAGCCAAGACTACACTGTATGTTAGCTAACTTGACAATCAAAAAAAAAAGCCATTTCAGCTATGTGATTTTGGGTAGAGAAACTTAAAATTTTATTATATTACATGGTCATTTGGTAGTAACCTTATCCTCACATAGCATCACTGTTTTCATTAAGTAAATAGAGTCCATGATGTACTGACCAAAAATAAATAAACCAAAAGACTAAGTGAGATAATGTGTGCAAACCCTCTAGCACAGAGAATCTGGAAAGATGCAGCAGCATAGTGTTTGAAGCTCTCTGGATTCCAACCCAAAACAAACAACTAGACCAAAAAATTTAAATCTACAGAAAATATGCACAACTAAATGAGGTGACAGGATATCCCTAAGAACCCCCAAATACAGTGTATGTCCATCAGCATGGTATCGGCACCTGTGCAGAAGAAAGCAGTGGGAGACTCCAGAATAGTCAACAGATATTCCCTAGAAAATACAGAGGACAAATTATGGAGCAGCGGCTGAGACTGGGAGACATTTACTCAGTCCATTCCAGTGCGTGCAAGGAGCTCATGGAAGCATTGAGGGAACGGAGCCATCTAGCCCCTAGGAACCCCTGAAACTGAGCCAGCAGGGCTTCCCTTAATGTCAGGATCTCACACTATGGAGAAATTGCTGGGTGGGAAATGCAGAGTTGGGTAGGAAAGAGACAACAGACTGGATAAAGAAGGTCCAGGTAAATGTAGAGGAATGTCAGAAGGCCAGCTGCCCCAAATGACAGATAAGGGAGTTCTGTGAAGTCAGAAAAACTGTGAATGTGCCTTTTTCTAAAATTTCAGGAAAACTAATTCCACTTGAAAATGATCAACCAAAAAGTAGCAAGGTTGAGTCTCCTACAAAAATTATTGTAAGAAAGGAGATAATAAGGAACAGAATGGCATCCCTCCAGATATTGAAAATACATCAGTAACAGATGTTCACAGTCTAGATCAAAACTGTAACCTATATCAAAACAGAGTAAGAGCACTAAGAAAATGATCAAAAATGTAAGAAAACTGTGGGTCAGAATTAAGAAAAACTGAGACATGAAGTGACAGAACCCAGGAAATAATTTAAAACTAAAGCAAAAAACAATTTCAGAAATATTTCAGAGAAAGAGTGACCAAAAAGAAGACAAATTTTATAAGTCAAAAAAGAAGTAGAAGAGATGAAAAGGCTCAAAGAGAAAGTGACGGACGTAGAAGACACACACAGAGACCCACCATACAGATAATAGAAATCTCTGAAGCACTAACCCAAAACAAAGGAAAGAAGTAAGTATTAAAAATGGTAACTCAAGCAAGTTTCCAGAAACTTAAAAAAAAAAAAAGATTTGAAAATCCACATTGAAAGAACGCAGCATGCCTGAACATATCTACTCAGAGCAGCAAATATCAAGACATAGTCTAGCAAAATTATCGGACTTTGTTATTTTTTTTTTTAATTTTAGAGAGAGTGTGAGCAGGGAAGGGGGCAGAGGGAAGGCGAGAACCTTAAGCAGGCTCCACGCTCAGAGAGAAGCCCCACATGAGGCTCCATCTCACAGCCCTGGGATCATGACCTGAGCATATATCAAGAGTCGGATGCTCAACTTAGTAAGCCACCTGGGGGCCTCAAATTATCGGACTTTAAAGGAAAGAGAAGACAGGGGCACCTGGGTGGCTCAGTCAGTTAAGCACCGACTTTGGCTCAGGTCATGATCTCGCAGTCCATGGGCTTGAGCCCCACATCAGGCTCTGTGCTGACAGCTCAGCCTGCTTCGGATTCTGTGTCTCCCTCTCTCTCTGCTCCTTCCCCACTTGTGCTCTGTCTCTCTCTGCCTCTCAAAAATAAACAAACGTTAAAAAAAAAATGAAAGGAAAGAGAAGACAAACAGTGGGCATCTAGGCAAAAACAGCAATGACTTATAAGGGGAAAAAGTATGTTGTCATCAGACTTTTTCACAGCAACACTTATGCTGGAAGAAGATGAATACTTAGGATCCTCAAGAAAACATAAGCCAAGGATTATATGCCCAATGAAACAGACTCGTGTACAAAGGACACAAGCCACTATCAACATGCAAAAGTATCAGCCTACAAGCGTTAAGCATGGTTGCTTATCCAACCACAACTAAGTGAGTATTGTAAGGACAGCATATAGAATGAATTGTTATATGTCCAAACAGTGTAGACAAATATGAATTGCTGTCTGTCCAAACAACGTAGATATAGCACGTCTATAAAACCTGCAGGAAGGGGGCGCCTGGGTGGCGCAGTCGGTTAAGCGTCCGACTTCAGCCAGGTCACGATCTCGCGGTCCGTGAGTTCGAGCCCCGCGTCAGGCTCTGGGCGGATGGCTCGGAGCCTGGAGCCTGTTTCCGATTCTGTGTCTCCCTCTCTCTCTGCCCCTCCCCCGTTCATGCTCTGTCTCTCTCTGTCCCAAAAATAAATAAACGTTGAAAAAAAAAAAAATTAAAAAAAAAAAAAAACCTGCAGGAAGATTAGGGAGGATGTATCCAAAAATATATATATTATTTTAAGTAATTGTGTTCGTGGTGGTGGTGGTAATTTTAGTCTTGCTCTTCTGAGACTACTGTGTCAGAATATAGAATAACGAAATAAATAATTATGGGATATTCTATCATCTCCTGTGTTCTTAAGAACCAGGATTCTGATACGGAAGAAAAGAGAGTCCTCTGGAATACAGAAGAGATTAAAAGTCTGTGTGGTTCTCGTTTTGAATCAGAAATATCAGTAGGAACTCATGATATATTTTACCTTTAAAAATGTCCACTGAAGAGGCCTGGGAGAAATGGCCAACCCAGTAGCACCAAACATATCTGGTATCTAGATTGTGGTCTTGAAATACCGTTTACCGCTAAAAAAACCAAAAGCGAAACAAAACAAAGACTTCTCGGAGATGTAGCTGGGGCAGTGGAAGTACAAAATAAGGCTGGACCGCCCCGTCACACCAGACAGCAAGAGAGCTACTGGACATTACTGGGGCCAAGTCGAAAGGACACAGGAGCCACTCTGATCTTCCCTCTGGACAAAGATGGGAAAACTTGAGCTCCAGCAAAGGATAATCATTGCAGTGGGTTGAAACCCATCAAACAGTTCACAGCCATGAGTTCATACCGATACTTGAAAAAAATCAACAGGTAACCTCTGGATGATGAGAGAGAGCTAGTTCATGGTCCTGAAAACTTGTTAAACTACATCTTTCTTCCGGGTAGGTGTTGCATTCATGTTTTATTTTACAATAAAGAGGATTTAAAATGTTTCTAGCCCACATATTTTAAACTCGCACCTGAGACAAGTCCCCGCCTCTTCCGCCTCCTCCCGATCTGTCGCAGGACACCGTGGGTTTGACTTCTCTGTGCTGGGCGCCGAGCTGGGCACCGCGTGCACGTTCTCTCACTTAACCACCCCTGCGACCCACCTGACCCAGGGCTCCGGGAAGGTGGGACCGTGTCTCCCACGTTTGCTTCGGCATCCTTGGTGCCCGGCACCCAGCAGGCCCTGAAAACACACCTGTTGAGTGAGCGGATGAACAAATGTGTCTGCAGTTGTAGAAACGGAATTGGCAAATAGCCCAGCTTCGCTCACCCGCAGCCAGGGCCGGTGAAAACGGGAGTGTGGGTCCCGGTCCAGGTCGCAGGAAGGGCCACGAGGCATCCCCGCTGAGCAGCCGGGCCGCGGAGGCCACCGCGGTTCTCCGCGGGAGCCGCCTCTGGACGGGCGCTCCCCACCTGGCCACCTGCCGGTCCTCCTGGATCCTGGGTCTCTGTGGGAGTGGCGGTTGCGACATTCCCATCCGCCTCTTGTGCTGTGGTTCCCCCCAGGCTCCGCCAAGAGAAGACAGACACCGTCCGCTGCATCAAGTCCTGCCGTCCCAACGACGTCACCTGCGTGCTGGATCCTGTGCACACCATCTCCCATACTGTTGTCTCGCTGCCCACCTTCCGAGAGTTCACCCGCCCTGAAGGTGAGTGGCGACTCCCATGGCTGGAATCGGCGTGGGGGCCCCAAGGCAGGTCCCCGCAAGAGAGACGTCCCTGCGAGGCAGCCCCCTCAGGGGCCTCCCAATGCTTGAGCCGAGAGCTTGGCCCCAAGGAGCTTCTCCTTGGTAAGATGTAGATTTGCCTCCGCATCTCCTCTGTGTCCCCCGAGCGCACAGCACCGTGCCGGCCCGTTCCAGGCTCTCGGCTCAGGAGGGCGCGCTTCTTCTGGGTCGCAGCTGTCCGGCAAATATCTTTTTGGGTGTTGGCTCTCTGCCGAGCACTGGGAGTCAGGGAGGGCCTCTGGGAGGAAGTGACTTCCCCACTGGGGTCTAAGTGGGAGGTTCGTAGTGAAAGTGGGGAGCAGGGACAGAGGGGGGTGCCAAGCGGAGCAGAACTCCTCTGGAAAGGTCTGGAGGGAAGTCTGGGGGACAGCGGGCATTTGAGGAACTAAGCCCAGGTTTCCTGGCTGGGAGGGGTAGAGGCTTGGCAAGAGACAGGCTGGAAAGGATAAGCCTTAACATGGGTAGCGTTGGGGCTTCTGGTCCAAGGCTTTTGGAAGCCATTACGGGGCTGCACCCGCTGCTGACCACAGAGGGGCTGGATCGGATCCAGGGAGCCCGGGAGTAGAACAGTGTTCCAACCCCCACCCCTGCTGCCGGCACCTGGTGGGAGGCTGTGTGTGGGTGCTGTTCTGCACGCCTTTTGCTGCTGGGTGTACATCCCCCACGCGGGGCTGCTGTGATCTCCTGCCCCCGCTTCCTCCGGGAGGGGAGGGGTTTCGTCTCTGGCCTTGGGAGGAGCTCCACCGTGATTGATTCCTGCAGTAAACGTTGACCAGGCCTCCCGGGTGCCAGGCTCAAGGCCGGGCTCTGGGGCACAGCGATAGGAAGAACACTGTGAGCCTCTGAGGGCAGATGTATAGCTGAGCCAGCGTGACCACACCCCGCGTTTACCCTGCGACGGGGTCCCGCGAGAGCACATGCCAGAACATAAAAGGGGGGAAGGGGGGAGAGAGGGGTGGCGAGGGCAGGAGAGGCTCCCCAGGGACGTGGTCGCCTGGCGGAGCTCGTTCCTCTGGCAAAGGGGCGGCACAGGATCTCCGCAGGGAGGCACGGACTCGGAGAAAATCGCCAACTGGGGTCTGCCGCGTGCAAAATGACACGTTCCAGCCGACCACATACAAATCCTTCCCAAACCGCTAACGGCCGGTTCTGTGGCCTCTCGGGCAGCGCCGGTCTCTGAGTTGATTCTGCAGGGAGTGGAGCGTGGCTGGAGACGCCTGTTGGCGTCACGGGCCCGACAGATCCAGACCTTGACCTTTAACGCTGAAAGGACCCTTAGTGGGCACCACCAGTCAGCCTCCTTCACTCCAAAGGCGAGGAAACCGAGGCCCAGAGGGAGGACGCCTCCAGATCATCCAGAGCCAGGGTAGAATCGGGGCCTCGCGCCCCCAGCCCGGGGTAGTCTGCCCCACTTCGTATCAGAAGGCCGCGGAGGTAGACACAGCCACCGATCTGCCCGGCGCTCCCGGAGAGGCAGCTTTGCTGACCCACATCGCCGTGGGCAAGAGACCACCCACTGTCTTGCCCTTGTTGACCCCCCTCCCTTTGCCTCTCATCCACCTCCCTTCCCCTTCTTCCAGCTTCGGGAAGATTTATGACTAGTTACTAATTGCTCCTCAGCTCTGGCACTGCTGATTATTCTATGACCTCAGAGAAGATCCAAGGTTTCTCCAGGCCTCAGTTTCCCCGCTGATAACAAGGGGGACAGGCTGTGACCTGTGAGCCCTCGGGACCCCTCCGCCTTCTCCGTGCAGGGCTCCCGGGCACCGGGTGCCCGTGACCCAGGGGTGCATCTCTGGGCTCTCCATGCTGTGCTTCCTTCTCGCAGAGATCATCTTTCTCCGGGCCATCATGCCCATGTATCCCGCCAACCACGCCGACATCATCTTCGACATCACGGAAGGGAACCTGCGAGACTCCTTCGATATCATCAAGCGCTACATGGACGGCATGACTGTGGGTGAGTTGCCGGAGGCGTTCAGGTCTGTCCAGACGCCTCCATGTCCTCCCGGCCAGCGGCCTGGCAGAGGCCCGCTGTGTCGGTCTGCTGGGACGACCTCTCTGGACCACCCAGCTGCCGTCTGAGCCCCCCTCCTAGAGCCTTCCTTGTCCTGCAGGGCCAGCTGGGGACCCCCAGGGCAACCGCGGGCTTGGAGTGGGGTCCGCTCCCGGCTGGGCCAGTCTCCCACCCGTGAATGGGTGCATTAACTGGGTCTCTGTGTCTCACAACCAGGAGCTTCTGGCCATACCTCACGGGCAAGGTGTTTGTCTCAGGACCCAATCCCCAGGTCAGTGGGACCTGTTAGGATTTTTATTCTGGTGGTGCAACGGAAGGAAAGCAAGTAAGGAGTCAGAGCCTGAGCTCTGGTCTCGGCCCCAGACGGCTGGCCTTGTGGTGTGTCCAGATATTGTCCCTCCTGGCAGGTCCCGGGCACCGCCCCGCCATGGGGGCGCAGAGCAGGACTGGGGCCCTTCCGCTGGGGCAGAGAGGGAGGGGAAGGGCTCCATCAGAGGCCCAGGCGGGGAAGCAGGTGAGTCTGGGTAAGTGGTTCATAAACCTCTCCTGAACGGTCACGTTTTTATAGACCTTAAGTTCTCGGGGAGTGAAAACAATCCCATCTACCATTCTGGACTTAGATGTAGACCCAGGGTTTTCCGAGCAGCTGAGCCCCCGGGGTCCGGGCCCTTTGCTCACGTAGGCCTCAGTTTCTCCACGGCGAACGGGGGCAGGAGGGACTGGGCTTCGTGGTCTCCTAGGCCCTGGATTCTGTGAGGTGTCCGTCCACCGGGAGAAGCGGCAGAGTGGTCGGCCCTGGAGCAGAACGTTCCGGAAGGAGGTCTCTAGGTGGCGCTGTTGGATCTTAGAACCCTGTTCCCCGCGCCCCCGGCGCCGCCGACCGTTGTTAAACTGGCAGCTGGAGACAGGGAATCGTTATTCCCCTGTTGCCAAAGAGCCATTTATAGCGACTTTACAAGCTCTTAAATGGGTTTGCATGTTGTAAACATGACTGAGTCATTTAGGGGCTCCCCACCCCCAGCCGCCTCCTCCGCTAGTTCGCAGCAGGAATAATTAGTTAATTACAATTAATGGTACATTAGTCCTCCCTGGGATTCCAAGGGGAGGGCATATGCAGCTTGGCTGTGAGGCGTCGTGAAACCTTCTGCACACCCTGGGCCTCAGTTTCCCCCATGTTAGATGAACAGGCCCTTCAGGGACCCCCGGGGCCTGGGGCTGAGGGCAGGCAGGAGGAGGCAGGGTCAGGGTTTGCTCCGCTTGGGTGGGGTGGTGGTGCCTCACCTGCAACAGCGGTGCCCGGGAGGCCCCCTCCTGCCACCCCTGTGGGCGTGGCTTCCACTCGGGGTAAATCACAGCCTTGGAACCGTACGAGCAGGACTGGAACCTTCGGATTTACTCGTTCATTCTTTCCATTCCTGCTCTTTTCCCCGAGCCCCCGTCTGTGCCAGGCCCGAGGCCGGGCAGTGTGGGTCCACAGGTGAATGTTTTGCATTCCAGCCGGGGAGACAGACGGCCCCACAAACCCATCATGAAAATCTGACACTGAAGACACTGATAAGCCTCTGTGGCCTGCGAGGGCTCTCGGGGGGTGGCCCCTTCGGTTCCCCGCTAAATCCCTCCTGGGTGACCCCAGCCAGGGGGTTGGGCAGTGGCTGGGCCCCGATCCAGTGCCCACCAGCGCGTTTTTCTAGCCGCATCTGTCCTCCGGACAGAATCAACCTGGGAGTCTCCGTTTCTCGGCTTCCCATCCACTGGGGCAGAAAATCTTGGCGTGTCGGAGCCCGGAGGCTCCTGGAGACCATCTCTCCCGATTCCTCTTTGTAGAGGGGGAAACCGAGGCCCAGAGAGGCGAGAGGGCTTGCTGTCCTTCTCACGGCGCCCCGGGGCAGAGCGGGGAACAGAACGGAGCCCCTGGGAATGGAATGTGGATAAGGCCACAAAGACAAGAGCGGCTGTCCCTCCCTGCACTTGGTCACGCGTGCCCTGGTCTTTGGAATCCAGGCTGGTGCTTCGTGGAGGAGGGATGGGCTGGCCCCGGGGAATGCGTTCCGCTTCCGGGTGGGCCCGGCCACCTCCACTCCTCGGTGTGACTGCAGGAGGCCCATCTGGCCGGGGTCCTGGAGTTTGCCTGTGTCAGCGTCCTCTCCCGGGTAGAGGACTGAGGCCAGAGGAGTCTGGATGGCAAGGTCTCGCTGAGGCGGGACCCAGGCTGTGTTTTGGGTTGGCCTCTCGTCTCTATACCTACCCGATCGTTGCTGCCTTATTTCTCTGCTTAGGGTCTCTTCCCTGGACTTCCTTAACCCTGCCTCTGTCCCAAATAACTCCTGTGCACCCCGGGGGCTTCTGGGCCTCTTAGGGTAGCCGTGCTGGCACATGCTGGCCCTGGACACGGACACAGCATGGCAGCTCCAGACGTGTCCACCTGCACTGGATGGTTCGCTGCTGGCCCTGAGCCCAGGTGTGAGCGGCCTGCAAGCCACGTGTTCACCCGGCGTCCCTCCCGGGCTCGGTTCTCACAAATACCTTCAGGGACGGGTGTGACTGTCTCCCTGGGGCAAAGGAGGGAGCTGAGTTAAGTAAGCACCTGGGACCCGGCATCAGAAACACCTTGGGGCCCCAGGGAGGTGGGGGGCGGGGTTTGCAAACTTGTTTTTAGTGGTGCTGTTCTCTTTTCAAGCAATGTCTTAGGCAGAAACCCTTGATGTCCTTGGGAAAGGAAGAAAGTGTTTTCCAGAGGCACACAAGCCTCCTGTCTGCTGTGCTCAGCAGGATCCGGGGGCTCTGGGCCCAGTGTGAACCACTGTGCAGCCCCCCGCTGCCTGTCGTACCCGGGAAAGGACATCTACCTACTCACAGGTGTTGGCCGAACCCCTCCCCACTTTAGGCCATGCGCTTTGCGGATACTGGACACCGGGGTCAGGAAGGCTTCCTGGAGGAGGTGTGGTCTGAGCTGAGTCTCCACACACTTGAAGGAGTGGCTTACAGCGAGTCCCAGGGGCAGGTGTTTCCTCCCCGGCCACAACCCCGTGACCCGGCGGGACTGTCGCCATTCATGGGTGAGGGGGCGCTGGAGGCAGAGCGGGCCTGGAGCCCGGTCCTCCCTGAACACCCAGAGCTGGAGCCCACTGATGGCCCGGGCTGACTTGGGCAAAGTGACTGAGAATTTGGGTCCCAGAGAAATAACAAGGGTACAGACCGCCAGGACCCTGAGGCCACTGAGCTCATTCTTCCCCCGAACAACAGAAGAAAGTGCCCTGAGTACACCCAGAACCTAAAAGGGCCAGGCCTTCCCCTAACGTATCCCTTAAAAGCCCGTTCTTAGCGGGGATAAAGGCGGCTCCTGCTGTCTGTGGAAGGCCCAAGCAGCCGTCCTGTGGCATTCCTCCTTAACCAGCTGTCAGTGAAAAATGAAAAATGCATTTTCTGCCCGTGCAAAAATGCCCTATTAATGCCTGAGGTATTCTCGGGCCACTACAAAAGCCTTCCTCATCCGGCCCCGGGTTCATGGTTCGCTGTGCAGGCTACTTGCTGCAGTCGGGGGCTGCGTGGGGAAGGGGTCCTTCAGGTGACGGCTCCGGCATGGGGGCTGTGATGGGGGGAGGGACTCATGGAAGCCTCCCCAGAGCCAAGGGGGAGCTATAGACAGCACTAGGCTGGAGTTGCTTTTTAAAAACTTTTCAATGTTTTTTAAAGTTTATTTTTGAGAGAGAGAGAGAGAGAGA